TCCGAGGTTCCAAGTAAAGTTTCCGAAGGTTCTGAGGTTCCAAGCAAGTGTTCTGTGTCAAGTGTCCAACACGTTCCAAGTTTAAGGGTCCAAGTGAAGGTTCCGAAGGTTCCAAGTGAGGGTTCCGAGGTTCCAAGTAAAGGTTCCAAGTGAAGGTTCCGAAGGTTCCAAGCGAGGGTTCCAAGGTTCCAAGTAAAGGTTCCGAGTGAAGGCTCCGAAGGTTGCGAGGTTAAGGTTCCGTGTCAAGTGTCTAAAAAGTTCCAAGTAAAGGTTCTGAAGGTTCCGAGGTTCCAAGCGAAAGTTTCGTGTCACGTGTCCAAAGAGTTCCAAGTAAAGGTTCCAAGTAAAGGATCCGAGTGAAGCATGATCCCAATCGTCTTTTGGAGGCGCAGCCTGCTTTCACGCAGCCTGTCGTTACGTTTGCGTGTGTTTGGTTGCGTCCGCCCTCGCCAGGCGAAAGGATACCTTTTCACGGCTGCCTCAAGCTTCAGAGGGTCAATGGACGCCTTGCTCAACCGGGCGGCCTTGCCATTGTGTCCGCTGCTGAGCCTCGTTCACCGTTCTCAAGAAAACTCTTTCACTTTTGCCTCGTCGATCCTAGGCGGGCCGTCTTGCAGAAGCAGGGCCTTTGGTTGGAGGATGTTGCGAAGCCTGATCCGGAGCAGCGCCTCAACGCGTTCCTGATCCGTCAAATTCTTATTGCTTGGGGTTCATCTGGCAAAACGAAAGATTCACACGCGACAGGAACTGCTTTTCGAGTTGCACGGCCAAGGTTTTGGGACAAGCGAGTGGCGTGCTGCCGGTGGGATCACTGACTTCGTCCAAGCAAAGCGCAAGCGCGGCGAACAAGCGGAACTTGGTAGAAGAAATCTATAGGCCAACTTGCTCGCCTTGAGATATTTCCCGGCGTCGCCGTTGCAATTGAGGCATGCCTATGTGCAAGTCAAAGAACAGTGGGCAGAGGTGGCCGCAAGCGCATTCACCGCCGACCGCGGCTATCCTGGAAACCGCGCGACCTCTGACACAGGCAGAACCTGCGTAGCGCTTGCCTGAAAACGTTTTTGCTCGTTTGCGTTCGTTAGCGGGCCCGCCGCGGTGAACGAATACATCGCACGGCTGCGGGAGGCCTGCGCCCATCAAATTTGCTCTGCGAACCATGCCCCACGAATCATCTATCATCACGCGCGCGCCCGGACGCAGAGGAATAGAACGCACGCTAGCTGAGAAATTTGACCACAAGAAACATGCCCAACACAACATGCGTCGATTTGATGGGCTAAGGCTACACCTGCCCGAAGGTGAGCCAAGACTGGCTTTACCTGAGCGACGAGGTCTGGTTTTGGGAGCGCTCCCTAGATCCGCGCAACGCTGCGTGAGCTTTCCGCCGACGCGGTATCAAAAAGGTTGCGCGCAGTCACGAAGCCTTGGACTTAGCGATCTGTGCAATACTATTGCGCAATACTAGTGCCGCGCCCTTAAACGTGAACTTTTTATGAAGGGTGCAGCCTGAGGTTTTGGACAACCCAGGAGACCTTCCTTTAGACTCTTGGGGCGTGCCCTGTCTTGAGCTCTGGTTTTTGCAAATTGCGCAAGCATGAACACTTTGTGAAGAGTTCAACCTGAGGTCGTCGACAATTTCTAATTTCGTGTTCTTTTCCTGTCCTGTTCCTGTCCCCTGTCCTGTTCGTGTCCTTCTCCTGCCCTCTTCCTGTCCTATTTTCCTTTCCTTTTCGTGTCCTTGTCCTGTCCTTTTCGCGTCCTTTTCCTGTCCTCTTCCTGTCCTTTTCGTGCCGAGGCTTTGTACGAGGCCTCCATGCGCGGCTTTGCCGGCATCGTGCAACGCCTCGCCGCGGCGCGCGCCGACGTGAACGCCCGCGGCAACGACGGCACGACGGCGCTGCTCCAAGCGGCCTACGTGGCCTCGGTGGACGAGCAGCGCCGCGCGGCGTGCTGCGTGGTGGTGGCGCTGCTGCGGGAGCTGGGCGCCGATGTGACCGTGAGGGATGCCTGGGGGAAGACGGCGGCCAAGTATTGCAGGGACATCCCAGAACTGGAGATCGCCCTCCATGCCGAAGTCCTGGTGACGTGTCCCTACGAGGACTGTCGGCGCATGTACCGGGTTCGCCGCTCGGACTACCGCTGCCGCATCGTGCGCTGTGGCTTCGCGCTCTTTCGAGGCCGGGAGTATCAGCTGCCGCCGCACGCGAGCCGCGCAAAAGTGCGGCGTTGGCTCACGGAGACGTGGGGATGCTTGGTTTTGCTTCGGGAAAGGTGGAGCTGTTTCTCACATTTTCTCTATACCAGATGTCCTGAAAGGGTGTGGCTCAGGGACACCCCGAATCGCCTCTAATTACTGATAGGCTAGTCAAGTCACAGACACCGGGCTCTGGTCTGAATCCCCTACCATGGCCAGCAAATCATCCAAGATACTATCTTGTTCACTTCCGAACGTCTGCCACTCGTCTCAGGATGGGACGGTTGGCCGGGGGAGGTGGTGGGCTGCGGGCGGCCCTTCCGCTTCCCCGACGAGAGTGGCACCGGGTTGTTCTTGACCTGGTCGGAGGAAGTCACTGGGACGGCGCATCCCAGCAGCGTGGATGCGGAGGGTGACTATTCCATTGCAACCGACTTGAGGTCGGATGATGTTGAGGTCGGTGGATAGCTGAGATGTATACTGATCAGTGTGCTGAAGTGAGACTTCTGGATGTTCGGACGAGTTGCTCTTGCGAAGCCGCGTGGTTTCTTTTTGACTGACTTCCATTTGTTGGGGCCTTTTGAGCTGACACCACACGCGTCGAAGAGCTGGAGCCACGCATGCGTTGCTCACTGAGAGGGCGTCCATCGTTGGTCACTGAGAGGGTTTGAACAGATGGGTGTTGAACTTGGAGGCATGAAGGGGAGGCTTGGAGGCCCAGATCGGATAGTCTATTTTTTGGGACATGCTGTTGGCACAGAAGAGAAGAGGGGGTCGTTCATGCCGTTTTCTGGTGGTTGCTCACTCGTGAGACTTACCCCAGCAGCTGAGCAGGGCGAGGCGCGAGGCGAGGAGATGCATGAAAAAGACGGCCCAGCGGGATCGCTGCACAGTGGGATCGCACAGTTCATTATTAGACCATTGATGGTAGGAGGATCCCTCCTGGCCATCATCTCTCACAAACAGAGGAAGTGGATCCTTTCATCCAGCTCCCCCTGCGGCTTGGAAGCCGCATCTTGGGGCGCAGCTAGGAGACGCTGAGTGAGATCGAGACAGGGGGGCGAGACGATGAGTGAGATCGACACTGCTGGGGCTTGGGGCGCCCAGTGGGAGGGGAGGTCGTCGAAGTGGTGTAGACAAAGGACCCTTCGTTCTCATTCTGAGTCCTACCGGCTTGCAGGGGAACATTGTGGATTCTGTTTCATTTGTCATACGTATTCCATTCGTGTGGGCTGGATGAGTTGATTCAATGCTTGTATGAGGCTTCTCCTTTTCCTTTTTCTAGCGGGAAAAAGACACATCGAAACAATCCAAGCTGAGCTCAGGGGCTTTTGGGGACTCCACCTACACTGCCTGAAATCATGGGCCAACGTGGATGGCATGGATGAAAACGCCCCGATTTTAGATGACCAAGAAATTCGAAGAGCAAACACGTGGTGAGCTCCACTTCCATGATCTCTTCAGGAATATAGCATGTTCGTTTGTTTTGCTTTGACAAGTCTGGTCTGATCCCAAAACCTCTTCAGTAGAGATGCGGAGGTTTATATATATATATAGATCGCAATGCATCTGATTCTCCAAATGTTTCACTCAGAGTTTCAAAAGTTTTGGAATCACCATCATCCAACAAAAGCATCCCAAGTGTTACCATCCAAGCAACCTTTTCACGGATGCCCATTTTTCGGACCCCAACACCGCTCCAGCGCTGGGCAAGCTCAACCAACACCGGGGCAACGCCGGGCAATCTCCCGCGGCAACACGGACAGCGCGATCAGGAGACGCTCAGTGAGATGGATTCGGAGCAGGAAGAGATCGCCAAAGAGGAGTCGACCCATCGACTCATCGATGGATTGACCTCATCGACTTGGAACACCTTTCTTTTTCATGCAAAAAACCATGGGTTTTCAGCTGGCTAGATGGTATATGGTACACATGCCCAATCTTGGGTGGTGCAATCATCAAAGACCATGGAGCCCCACCTGTCGAAGGTTGTTGGGGTGCTGCCATCCTTCATCGGTGCTACCAGTGTATCTTCCGCATCTTCTGGTCTCCTCTGTCGAAAGTCTCAATTGGTGACCTGGCTGTGAGGATGCATGGAAGACTCTTGAACAACAAAACCCAGACATGGATTGTAAAACCTTTTCAGGCCTGGGTGTTTTGATAAATCAAGACTCTACATTATTGGTACCAGGACTCGGACCTTCTGAATACCTGGCTGTTTTGGGACCAACGCCCAGGCAGGTAGATTGTTTGGCACTGCACTTGGACACAGCAAGACCGGATATCGAACGGAGGCTGGTACAGATCAAAAGTGAGTATGGGTGAAGAAAGGACTATACTTGTTTGCCAATTACAGTAAAGAGTCCGAGCAATGTATCTGGCATATTTGGTCTACCACATTGTTATGGGTTCGGCTTGAAAGGATCTCACTTGCCGGAACATGCCGGACTAACAACGATTCTGAGCGATGCGAGCAGTCAAGGTCTTCCATCGAGAGCAACCATTTCAAACCGGTGTTTATTTGTTTAGTTTGCTGGGGCAGTATCCTTTGATGAATCTGTCACATCAGCCCACACCTGGTCCCTGGTTACCCATTGGATGGTACACTCCGATGAACACATCCCATGACATGGAAGAGGACAACCCGAAGTTTGCAGAGGAAAATTGTCATTCCAAGGGCCATGTCATTCACTTCCATGAGTCGGAAAGTACTGCTCGATAGCTCGTGCTCAACAGGTTCAAAAGCGTTCCATCCACCGATCTTCTCACTTTACCGATGACGTGCCAGGATCTCCCACTGGTCCAAGGCTTGAAAAAGAAGAAGAGGCACCGCTTTTGCGGGCGACTGCCGATGAAAGGGAAAAGAAGAGACTTCGGCAAAATGAATGACTCTTGAAACTTTGCTATGCATTCGCTGCTATGTATGGATGCCGCAGGTGTGTGTCGACGTCTTTGGGCAGGCTTTTTACGTCTGGCAGGCTTTTCAATTCTCCTCAGGGATGCACCACGTGTGTGTAAATCTTCCATTGACCTTTTCGGACGTCCGAGTTTTCGCGTTGCTCCGCCAGCACCGGCTCGTACGCTCGTACACGCGACGCACCGAACCAGCACCTCCGGGTTCGGACGTCTTCGGAACCGCCGGAACGCACGGCCAGGAGAAGAGAAGGCACCGAGGCTGCAGACCCCCCCGTCCTGCACGTGGTTTTTGGACTCTGGCAAACGCACCATGGATGCGTACTTGCGAAAAGGGGTGTGTATAGACTGTATAGAGGAAGTATTATATAATAACAGGTCAACACGTCTTGCTTGATTGATGCTCTTCCTTGGACTTTTCTTTGCCTTGCACTCCAGGAGCCTCCCAAGCCACCGTCACCAAAGGCTTCGGCGCAGAAGGCGCCAAAGAAGGCGGCGAAGAAGAAGGCGCGGAGATGGGGAATGGAAGACTTTCATGATCTTAAAGAAGTTAGAGGCCCTGTGAACGGCTAGTCCTCTCCCTAGATCGGCTTGAGGAGCCGCTTAGAGCCTCCCAAGTGGATCGGCATGCATGGGTGTTTGTTGAGAAGTGCTCACCTCTACTTTGCCTGGCTGTTTGTGATCCTCACCACGAAAGAGTCCTTTGTTGATGTCCGCTTCTTCGCAGTTCGCAGTATCCTTGAGTACATGGCTGGCCATTTGGTTTACCAAGTTTTACCTATTGGACTTCTGATCATCAGCACTGCTTCCAAGCAAACAGGGTTCCACCGGGTCTTTGCAACGCCAGGGGAAGAAGACTGCCTGAGGCAGTGCAGACGCTTGCAGGAGCTGTGGGATCAACTCAGGAAGAAGAATGTCAGAGCGATGGCCTCCAACCTAAGATGAATAAGTGCCCCCCCATTTGGATTGAACAACCTCTTCATATCTGGCGGACATTAAGGATATATCCTGCTTAAAGTCGAAGTATTGTAGACCATGGAACCCAACCAAACACCAAACACCAAAGAATCTCATCCAAACTGTGACTCTTCTCGGTGCTTGGTGTCTCTAATCACCTTCTCCGAAACGACCAGTTTCGACTCCTCCGAGGGGCGGTCTTCGACTCCAATGGGTTCCACGTCCGACGTCCGACCGTTGGTGGGAGGTTTGGGGGTTCCGAAACGACCGGTACGTCTTGTTAATGAATACTTATGAATACAACCACCAAGTCATGTTGACGGTGGATGAATCAACCACCCAGGCTTGGAGATGCAAAACCAGTCGAGGGGTTTGACTCATCGCGAGTCTACATGAGTGGTACTGATACCGGATTCGTTTTTCTTTGATAAAACTCGTAGGGCTCCTGGGTGGGTGGCAGGGTAGTCAGGCCGTACCTTCTGAAATGTCGGCCACAGGAGCCTGAACCTCGGGTGGCACCAAACACAAAGTAGTGGTACCGGATTCATTCCCGCATGTTTTTACATGTTTTTTTAGATGATTGTTATTTTCTTTTTCGCTGGACATTTGATAATGCGCATCTGTCTGTCTGGCAACTGGTTCAGGGTGCTCCCATTTGTGAAACTCCTGGGATTTGCATCGTGGAGATACTGAGAACTTTTGAGTAGAGTTTGTTGATCAATCGCATGTTGAATGTTGAGAGAGTGAGTTCGTCGGCATATCATTCCAGTTGCCGCGACCAACGTCCTGTGGCCAGTTTCGACTTACTGTCTTTGGTGCACCAAGTTGCTCTTTGTTGCAGTTTAGACCAGCGAATCCGGCATCACTGTGAGGCAACACTGGTACTCGGATTCGAGTACCGGTGTGCACAGAATTGTCCCGGTTTTCAGTAGATCTTGGGCCACGGAGGATTTATTTTCCCAAACTCGATCGCCTGTTGCGGGGTTAGCATCGGGATCGGGGTGTGGGTCCTGGCCCTCTGTTAGTGGGATCCCATGGTTCATGTTCCTAGCAACATTCCACGAGTCACGTACGTGGGGCAGCAGCTCAGTTCTTTTTTGAACGGTTCTGCGATTTGATGGTTTCTTCATTTTTTTCCAGCAAGGTCTTGTGCTGCGGCTTTGGCAGGAGAGATGGTGCGCCAGCACATCCATCAGACTGGCCACCTATCCATCGGTAGATGGAGAGTCTTGGACTGCCTCCTGTTGTACCTGCTTGTAGTTCACAAGAAAGTATATAAACGAACTAAAATGTGGAGCCTATGCATTTGCTGCGACAAAGGCCTCTCCAACTGCAGGTTCGCCAAAAAACCTCGAATGTGCGGGGGTGTCTGACTCCTGAAACTGCCAGATTCCACAACACACACACCTCAGAACCTTTTTCTCTATCAAAAACTGATCGTGTCTGCTACCTCTCCAACTGATTTCACCTCCACCACGGGCTGATGCTCCGTCGGACACCACCGGTTACTCCCAGCTCGCCGGCACCGGCGTCCGGCACGCCGGGACCCCGCCGTTTCACCGAGCCGACGCCACGACGGACGGCCCCCCGACGAAAGGCAAGGCGCGAAAAGCCCTCACGTCGCCCAAGTGGTGGCGTTTTTTGCAGTTGACCTGGAACAGTCGTGTTGACCAAGGGGATTGACCATGAGTGCAATGAACATGGCACCACGTCGGTTTGCTTTCACGAAAGATTCTGTGTTTGGAGCGCCTTCTTCACAAAGGATTGACCCCCACTTTCTTTTTTGTTTCTGAAGGCTGGGGCCCAGTGGTTGACGGGTGGCACCTCTTAGAATTCTTGTGGCAGTGTCAGTAAACCACGAGCCACGGTCAAAAGAAGCCATATTCTACTGCCACAAGTGACCACAAGTGAGATGCAGAAAAATCTTAAAGAGACAACGGCGTCTCAGAAGGTTTCTCTTTTGGGGTATGTCGGGGTGCCACCATCATCGTCGGCTCACTAGTAAAATCCAGGGTGATGGGACCTTATAGATTCAAGTGAGATGCTGTTGTTTCAAGGGTTATATAAACACTCTTTCCACCCCCTTTTCCCACTTCAAAAGGCCTTGTGGGTCACATTAGAATCCTTCTGTTGAAAGCAGGATTTGCAGAACAACCGTTGGGAGCTGAGACGAAGGCGTCTTCGATCTATCATGGCTCTTGAAGAACCATTGAAACATCCGACATGGAAGAGGGACATGGGTGTGTCATGGAATTTCTTGAGAGAGGGACCTGGCTTAGATGTAAAATCCATGAACTTCTTGGGTCCCTTTCTTCCCACCTTGGACACCCACCACACCCACCGTTCGACCCGCCGGGTGCCACTGCGAATCTGGCAGATTGACCCCGGCGGGTCAGACTCGTGTCCACCAACAGGCAGGTCCGTGGCCAAACGTGACAGCTGGCAGGTCCCAGCTCCACTTCGGAGCGTTGGCCGAACGCTGTCGGCTCCTGCCATCGATCGCTCGGTCGGCTCGGAGGGTCTCTTCTCGGCTCTTCGGGGCGCGTGACGTGCAGCCGTGGCGACTGCGAGAGTGGCCATGGCGGCCGAGGCGGGCCGAGAAGATGTGGGAGATGAAGAGGAGAGTTGAAGGACTCCCATCTTGGGTGTTGTGCCCTTCAACTAGCCTACTGTATCTACAGTATCTATATGTATCTATAATATATCTATAGATATACTGTACATCTATCTAATGTAGATATAGTGAAATATAGTGTAAGAGTCGTGCCCTTCAAGCGAGGACTCCGTCCGCCTTTTCCCTCTGTGGTTCGGATAGAGCTGGACTTTGGTCCGATGGGCTCAGCCTGGCGAGCGAAGGATCCGACCGATCGCCCTGGCCGCCCGCCTCGAAGACCTTCGCGAATCGCCCAAGACCGGTGAAGCGCCAACCATGTCGTCCACATATGCCTACCTCACGTATGTCCACGTACTCAACATATAGATCTATGAGAAGCTGTGCCGAGACTAAAAGGGCCAAGTACGAGACTATAGGAGCAAAGGGCAACGCTACGAACGGAGCAAGGATGCTACTATCTCCTGGCCTTACTACTAGGAACAAGAAGCTACTAGTAACAAGGACGCTTTTAGGTAGAGGCCCAGGCCCAGTTGCACCTCCCCTCGGCGGCCAGGGGAACCCACGCCGCCGGCGACGCGTGGCGTTGACTGCGGGGGTGGTGACCGCGCTGGCCGGAACGAGGCGGGGCCGCGTCGGAGTCCTCCGAAAGCGGGTGTTGGCCATGACTCACAGAGAAGGACTCAGATGGCGGCAACATTACTTGCAAACAGATTCATGAAAGTGGAACGGAGGCAAACATGAGAAGACTTTATTTTAAGATATTTTAAAGTATATATTGAATTGGGCGTTTTCGACAACCCAGTGTACACTCACATTTGAAGATATAGAGCCTCCCAGTTTCCCTGTTCATGAGAAACTGGACCGTCCTGGTGAGTGATCTTCTAGTGACAAGGAGTAGATGCCCAGGGATTTGTTTTTCGTATTCATAGGATTCAGAGGTCAAGGTGCCTGAATGGGGTGCCTGGTTGGATAGAAGCCTCTCAGCTAGTTTTCCTTTATCCGAATATGTTTCTTATTTTCTCTATGAACTGGGGGAATGCAGGTTCCAAAGAAACAGCACATTTTTCAGGTCAGCAAAAGGAGACTGAGAAGTCTCCGTCTACCCTCCCGAAACTCACACGCATTCATGGCCCATATGCACCCTGGGCACTTTGAAGATGACATTCTTTTTTTCACCCATGGCTTTCAGTGCCCATGCCGGCCCTCAGGCCCTGCAGGTTTGGAGAAGCACGAAACAAGCGCAGGGAACTGACCCACCTCCCGAACTGTTCGTTTATAGAGGAGTTTTTATTTTTTAACACTTCTTGACGCACCCCGAAAATCGGATCACTCAAGGTTGTTTCTTGAGGTAGAGAAGCCTTGCAGTTGCTGCCCCCCAATGCTGGTCAATGAACACCAGGCTTGTTGCAGACTTGACAATGTGGCCACCTGAAGACTTGTTCAACTCCTGATCAACTTAGAAAGGCCGGGGATGATGAAATCGTTTTGGTCTCCAACCCCTGCAGAAGTAGGTTCGTCAGGAGTCAAAACTGCATGAGCCAGGTTGCCGCTTTCGGGCGCCTTTGTGGCACCACAGCTGCGCGTGCAAGACCAGCACGCGGCACACCTGCAGCTTCATCGTTGGGGCAGTACAGGCACGGTGCGCCGGTGAAGACGCCCGCCGATGAAATCGCCCATGAAGATCCGAGGATCCTCCGCTGTCCGTCATGGATCCACACCCCAAACGCCGTTTTTAGCCGATATGGAGCAGGAGAGTCATTCCTGCCTCAAAGCAAAGAACATCAAAGAACCTTACGACCTGTGGTGGCTGAGTCTGGTCTTCCCCGATGTTTTTCAGGGTTTCTCTCCAGCCAGAAGCGTCTCCCCAGCCTTACCAGATGAAAGCTGGAGAATGGCTTCCATCCTGTTTTTTTTTTTTTTCAATTCTTGATCTTTCAAATGATTTTGGGTTTCGAACACCTCGAATGTGAGACGAGCATCGTGGATCTGATGCGAGCTTCGAGACGAGCATCCGTCGTGTGTTCTACACGGGGCTTCCGTCGGTGGATCTGTCGCTCGTGGCGTCCGAAATGGAGCGAAAACGCACGCTGTGCCGGCACATCATTTCCCTACGAGTGAGAGAGAGAGAGAGCAGGATATGATATGGAGAATCATGAAGAAATCTGCTATGCACCTGCTGAGGTGCACAGGTCTTTGATGAGCTTGAGTTGTTGACCTGTAAAAGTTCACTACATGTTCCATGTTCACATTGTTTGCTCTTGAGCTGGCTTTCTCGAATCCAACGAAAAAACCTGTGAACTCCGGAGGGTCCCAGAGAAATCTCATCTCGGACTGCACGAAGCATCAAGAACGACCAGGCTGTTGCCCGCTGTCGCTTCCCAAATCTTCACAGGTCAACTGAGTGAAGTCCGGTGAATCTTCTGCAAGAAGAAGCCCCAAATGCATTCAAGAGTTCACCCGACTTCACCGACATTCTTGTGAATCTTCTGCATTTGGAACCCCCACAGTGGCTTCGAGTCGAACGAACTCCCCCCAAACGCCGTGAACGAGCTCCGTGAACGGCGTTGAACGTTCTGCTTCCGATCGGAGGCCTCTCAGCTCCTCGAACGCTAAGAGAAACCGCCCGACCAGCGTTGGAGGACTCAGAGGGTGTAGGAGATGTGGAGGGTGAGTTGTGTCATGCCTCTGCCATGCGAACAACGCCGGCCCCAAAAAACAAGACAATGGACACAGGTGGACTTGTGATTAGTCACCCCACTTAACAGAGATTCAATCCAGAATGGTCAACCATCTCCATATGTGTGGGTTGTCAAATGTCATAGTCGTTCTTCATTGTCAATCAACAGCCACCAGCATAGTTCAGCATGACCGGCGAGTTGGCAACGTCTCATGGGCGAGTTGGCAGAAATGGGTGAAACGAACGAGCTGGGCGATGTGGCCTCATTGGGGACCTCGTCTCATGTGGCCGGAAGAAGATGACCGCCCTTTGGTGCATCCATCTCGCATGATCGAACCGCCCTTTGTGGGGGCTCGATGGGCCAGTTCAAGATCAAAGATTGATCTACCAGGCGTTCTTGGCAGGAGATTCTTGTTCTTTTTATTTTGCAATACCTTTCAGCACTGAGATAGAAAACACACATGCCATTTGTCCGAATGCAAATGCAAGTGAAAGGAAAAAGAAGTGAAGCGAAAAAAGGTCCGCAGATCGCAGTGACATTCTCATGCAGGTTTTTGATTGAATCCTATCACATTTCATCTTTCTGTTACACTTGGAGGTCAGTTTCCCTGTGATGGATGGCCATTGGAGTTCGTGGATCCAACCCCGACGCCCTCCCAGGTTCGGTGGGCGCCCCGGTGGTAGGCGCCCGACGGAGCCTCCGTGGCTGAGTGGAGTTGGTCAGAGAAGAACTACCACCCCGGTCTGGTGGTTGGTACTGAAGGTTATTGGATCTTCTGGAACCAGGAGAATACCGATAGGTTTGGTGGTACATGTTTTGATGCTAAATACGGGGTGAACCTGGATCCCTGGTTTCCAATGAACCTTCCATGGGTTAGCTGATCATGCACCGGTGGACGCTTCACAGCTACTCCTGTTGATCTCATGGTACACAACTCAACCAAAGCCACAGAACTGCAGTCACTCGCTCACATTCCACTAAAGGGTACCTCTCCCATTCTCAAGACTGCATTTGACTCGTGAAGGAATCCCTGCCACGCAAGAATTGCAGTGCACTTCTGCCACATTCCCAATCGACGTCACATTCTCATGGACGGTTCGTCAATCCTCTTTCGGTTCGACTTGCCAGGGGGCCTGGCCCCGTTGCCGAGCCTGAATGGCTGGGTTCGGATGCCGAGACAAGGGGCTTGGACGGTCTCAGACCTGCAAGCGGTAATTCGGTGATTTGGGATGTGGGTGAATGCCAAAGATGGCAGGTTGACATGTCTGGGTAGTCCATTTTCTTTGGTTTTTGGTGATCAACCATGCTCATTGCGCTTGCCCCAACTCATAATGGTTCACGTTTTGAGGCTCCCCCTGTTCTGTCTCAACCACCGTGTTTCTTCAGGGAACACTCGAGCAGAGCAGCGTCAAATGGATGAATTACCCTGATTCTCCTTTTTTTGCTCCATGGCAGCATTTCCTTCAGGTTCCATGGTAGCCATGGTGCTATGAGTGCGCTGCAAGATTGCTCACTCCAACCATTGAACACGGACAAGGTCTTTTGGCGCGTCCATGCAGCCTCCTGCATGCTTCACAAGGTAGCTTGTGCTTGATACCTGAGACCTCGCATGTTTCTGGTTCTCTCGCCCTGTGCCTTCAGCCCCTCCAAACAGAGACAGCCCACTTCCGGCTCCGTGGCGAACGCGACGGCTCGCGCTCCGCGACGTGGCTCCCCAAGGTTCGCTGTTCTTTGGGCTCATCATCTTGAGCTTCATCCCGGGTCCCTGGCAGGTGCGAAGCTTTGGGGAGTGACGGCCCTTCGGCCCGAGACCAGCGGGTCTCACATGAGCGGCATCGCGGTGGGATCTGGTTCACCCTCCGTTGCCAGCCATTTGGGAGGATGAATTGAGGACATGGCTGGCAACATGGGCTCCGCACTGGGGGGAGTCTGGATGGAGGTTGGCAGGGTCCAGACTGCAGAGAGTGGAAGTCGTTGGTCGAATGACAGGTCTCACTGTTGTCAGCCAGGTAGATAGTTTGCCAGGCACCAGCAGTGGAAGCTTCTGATTGGTTGAAGACATTTGAGTCATAGGACGCTCCATATCTAAATAAAGGTGTACGGTTGAGCCCTTACTGCCGTTTTGTGTCTTGTGGACTCCAATCTATCAACCAACCGGTACAAGAAATGGACTCAATCAGATTGGTGACGGGCCGGTGACGGGGGCCGTCAAGCAACATGGTGATGAGGACGACATGTGTATTTTTAAGGTCCCCAAATGGCAGAAGCAAGCTCCAAAACATGTTGTGTTGCGCGGATTCACTCTTCTGCAGACAATAGATAGCTTTCATTTCGTTCTTGTCCTGAAGGTGATTTTGAGCCCCATCATTGGCTTGATCAACTTGTTCTACATGTTCAAGGCGTGCACGGTTGACCCGAGAGTCGGAGACTCCGTCGCGGTCGCGGCGGTCGGAGACCGCGGCCGTTTGGAGGCTCCTTTCCAGAACACTCAATGTGCTCAGATTTGTGACGTGTGCAGTTCATGAGGAGCTCAGGAGCTTTCTTGAGCTCCCCACGCTTGTGGGTCTTCTTGAACTGTTGATCGAAAACCATGTCACAGCCTCGCAACAGTTTGTTAGTGCTGCACTCAAGCCTCAGAAAAAGGGGTTGATTCATGAGGGTGTGTGACTGTTGAATTGTTTGAATAAATACTGTAGGAAGACCTCCCAGTTCAACCCCGTGAACGCGGGAAAGAGTATTCTTCCGTCTCCCCCCAGGCCCGGACCTCGAAAGCTCACTGCTTCCACGGACGTCCCCACGGATCTTTGCTTTAGGAACCTCCAAACACGCCTGGTAAACCTGTACACTGCGTTCGTACGACGAGGATCGTGCGCAACGCAAAGATTGCTGTGTTTGACACTGCCTCATCTATCTGTCCATCCCCGCTCCGCCAGTTCGGCATCTTCCTGCTGGCCATCGCGGCCATCTTTGGCCGCGCGGCGAGAGGAAGCGTTTTAGAGTGTTTTAGAGAGGACACGTGGAGATGGCAAAAAGGAAGGACTCCACTTGGAGGAAGAAATACAAGAACGGAACATGATAGGTACGTGAGACGTACGGCGTACAGTGAAGTTGGTGCATCTTGGGGACTCGTGGGAGGATATGAATATCAAACAGGTGAAACAGAGAACTCTTCCGTGAAGTGAACCTGCACAGATGGGCATACAAACATGTTCATCCAATGGGCGTCCAATAGACAGGGCACCCCTTGGATGGTCCTTCTTGGACCCACGCCGGTGAAGCGAGACGCTCGCTGAAACCGATGTGAACCGAAAAAATCCAGCTCCGCAAACGGCAGAAACAAGGTCCATGCAACAAGGTCCAAGCATATCCAAGCATCTAGAAGAAAAACATATCAAAAGCACCTTAAAGCTTTCCAGACATCCTTTGAATTGGATCCCGGCTTCCGTTCTTCACGTGCCCAACAGGGCGTTCAACGACCAGTGTCCCGACCGGGCGTTAAGGTCTGCAGTGGTACTTTGAAGCCACGACCATGGAGGGTCAATGCCCAGGACCGGGACCGTGCCGGGACCGTTTGAAGGCCTTCCCGGGACCGTTTTCGGTGGGTCAGTGGGTGGTTTCCACAGCGAACATCCAGGGGTGGCTCTTTGACCAGCTGGTTCTTTGAATTTCCCTGTGCAAAAAAGGACGTCCAAGCAGAAGTCCTCGGTTTTTGGCTCGGCTCAGGACCGTCATTTGGGATCACATATCGCATGAAAGAGGACGAAAGAGGATCAATCGATTTGTGCGATAGGTCCAGGCACCGGAAATCCCAATACTCAGAGATTCGGATTGGGATGTTGATGGTGTCTGGATTGAGTAAGGATTTTTCTCACGTGAGAAAACATAATTCAATGCAGGTACTATTTCTTTTTTTCTCACGTTGCTTCCGACCCGACAGCAGCAGCCCCCAAACATGACTGTCCCTCGTAGGTCCCACCCAGGAGGTATCTGAACTACCCATGGGCCACCCATCTGGGAAGACATACAGAAGCAACAAGAAAAACAACCTCTGAGAGAAGCAACAAGAAAAACATACCTCTGAGAGGTCTTTTTCTTGTTGCTTCTGTATGTCTACTCTGACCCCGCAATCATCTTAGACTCCAAAGCCGCCCACTCACACCACTCCCCTCCACTCGTCCAGCCCACGCTGCTCACTCCCCTCCACTCCACCCGAATTTCTGCACCTTTTGGAGGCTGTGGCGCTCTTCAGAGAGCCAGCAATTCCGAACCCTTCAACTGTGCCATGTGCGGCTTAGCCGGGACCCCGGGAAACCGAGCAACGGAGGAGGGGTGGCACGGACGGACATCGTGTAGTTGGGGCAAAAGCAACGGTTAACCCAAGAAAACACATGAAAACACACATCATAATTGCTCTTTATATTCCAAATTCTACCATTCTACATACTAGTACTGGAGCAATCACAGATGTATTTTGGACCTTTCAAATGCCCTTACCGCGAGGAATCTGAATCTCTGAGGATTAGATGCGCAAGAGGGCCCGGCAGCTACCCAGCAGATTTCTGCCCCCAGCGCATGACCACCCACGCAAAATCCAAGTGTATCTTTTGTTTTAACACTGGGTGCGTTCTCTTAGACCACATCTACATCCGAACGCACAGCCCATCTTGGAAGCGGTCCCACCTATAATAAGCGACCGTCAACCCGATCCAATGCCATGAAGCGACCGCCACCCGATCCAAGTCCCGGCGCCTTCGAGGAGCTTGAAGCCAAAGACGGACAATTCGTCAGGCGCATGAGCCCTCCACCGGGCCTCGCTCGACGCCCCTTTTTCGACCGACTCGACTTTTGCCATGGCGGATGGGGAAGGGCCCAAATCGGAGGAGGTCATGTCGTAAAGATGACTGGGTCAACACAGATGCAGTTTTTCAGCTCGAGACGAAAGTGAGCTCGAGACTGGCTCGGCGAGCTAGAGGACCGATGCTGTGTGGCCGTGGTCAAAGAGCAAAAGAGACCGCCCCAGTGAGTCCCCCAATGGTTTAGCTAAACATCCGAAAACCAAGGCTTTGTGGCTCTGGGACTTTGCGTGCGAAATTCCTCAGGATCACCAACTCAGGGGTTGGACATGACAAAGGGATGGTTCACTTGTGGTGGTTTTGCTTGGTTTTTCGGAGGAGAGAAACAACACATTTCGTTCCCCGTTTCCGTCGAAGGTCGGAGACCTGATCCGTCCTTCCGTCGCTTCGGCCTCAAGGTACATGAAGAGCGGCCAAGCGCCGCAAAGTCCCTTCGAGAAGATCAGAGACATGGCAGAGCAGGTGCGAAGATGTCCTGCAAAAAGAGGTGTGCGAGATCAAGAGGAACCTACTTGTTGGTTGGTGACTTTGGTGCGCTGAAAGTGGCCTTAGCAACTTGCAAACTGGGCTCTTGTTTGAACTTATACACCCTGGAAGACTCACATGGACCCTTGGTAGAGGAAAACCATCTTCCAGGGGGCCAGCTGGTCGAGTTGGGTCGATTTGGCACCAGCCACGACCTCACGTCCTCGACGGATTCTACACCGAAGCGGTCCGAAGACCTCCGGTGGTCTGACCCGTCACCGCGCGAGCCGGACCACGAAGAGGCGAACCGGTGGTGGCTTCCGGCGTGGCTTTCGGAGAGTTGTTTCGGTGTTTTGGAACCTCGCATGTCCTGGGTTTTCACGGTGAAAAACCAGGTGCCCCCCAAGCGTGAAGTCCTCATTCCAACCTTTTAGGGTCTCCCGAAACCACCAGTGTCTTGGAATTGTTCCAGGTTCAGGTCCAAGTGAAGGTGGGAACCCGTCGGCCGTTCACGAACGGCCACTCGGCTGGGTGTCCCGATGTTGAGTCCAACCTCGCCCCAGGCGGCGGAGAAAACGACGCCCGCCAAGCCGAAGCCTCCCAGGTCCGCCTTCGGTGGGCCGGGTCGGCGTAGCGCCCTTCGGGGAACGGGAGGGCCACCGGAACCAAGGCAGGTCTTCCCAAACCTGAGGTTTTCGGGGTCCAGGTTCGGTCGAAGAACCAGAAGAAGCTGCCAAAGATGGGGGAATGGATCTATATAACCTGGTAGTTGCAACACCATGTAGGTCCAAAGCCTTCGAGGTCAACCAAGGTATCCCGGTGCCATGACAGAGAGGCACATGAAGAGGGTCTTGTTTTGCAGGTTTTTCTTCCAACATGTGCGTTCGTTGTCTTGCTCTTGTGGGGAGCTGGGTATGTGGAGGTCTATACATCTGTCAGTGGCAAACTTTTATGAGGGTATTGCAATAGGTTGACTTAAAGACCAGCAGACTATATAAATGTCCTCAAGGACTTGTCGACTTGGCCTTTGTAGACATATATACATATATATATATATAGAGAGTCAGTTCTTATATGTAATATACTCTCCGTGATGCTGAAGCTGACGAGCAGAACTCCGATAGGACAGTAGGTCGTTTTGCGGCCTGGAACGTTCCATATCCAATAAGTCTCTAAGGCATGGCAAGCCTTTGGATCGCTGGAGACCTCAAAGAATTTGTCCTTCAGACAGTGCAGACAGACACCCTAAAGACAGACACTCAACCGTCCACCATGCATGGGTGACCTCCTTTGGGACTCGCCGACCAACCGCGTTGGGACTGGCCGGAACACCATGCAGTCCCAAAAGCAAGAAGAGCAGCTCCGAAGTGGTGGACGTGGAGGCGAGGAATGTGTGGTGATTCAATCGTTTGTGTGGCTCGTTTGTACAAAAAGTGACGCGACCGCTGAGTGTTTCAGGGTCCCAGATGGTTCGGCCACAGAGCGCCTCTGAAGGGTCACACTCTGTTTCAGACCCTCAAAAAAGGTCACGAACTGAAGAAGCTGGTCGTTTCTTTTGGGTTTGTTTCGGTGTTGGTTCTCAAACGAATTCAGACTAGGCCTTTTCGGGGCTTCGGAGAGCGTTTTACAATCTCTCTTTTTTTGTGCGGGGTTTTCCAAAGGCAGCTCTCGCACGTTTTCGGCGGCTTGGCCCATCGCTCTCCTTTTTCGAACCGGTGCGTTGGTACTTCCAGGGCGAGCGATGTGGTACCGAACCGAGCTACACCTCGGTGAACGCGGATATCCCAACCGTCGACCTCTCGCGCTTTCGCTTCGGCCAGGTCCTGTGACTGGGACCGACCGCAGGACCAGCGGTCGAGACGTTCTACACGTGGAGTCGAAAGTGGGGTGGAGACGGAGGGTTTCGGGAACCGATGGGAAGCATCAAAAGCCCTGTCATCAGACGAAGCTCCTTACTGAACCCTAGTAAAACCATTACATACTGAAATTAAAAATAGATAAGAAAGAACATATATACCAACATGATATAGATTGATATGGCATGATATATATATATATGTATACAATAGATACATGAACCTTCCTCAAACCAATTGTTTGAATCCCTGTAAAGCCCATATAGAGGTAGACTCTTGAAGAGTCTACCCCCCCTCTGCGCATGAAGAGGTGTGATGAATTCAGCAAGAGTCGACATTAGAGGCATAGAGGTTCTCTATGGTCTACTTTTGGTGGAAGGAGATGAGATGTAGTGAAGGCCTATTCCTTTGTTGGCAGTTGCGATCAACCTCTTCGTGCCAACGGGATGACCATTTTGCCAGCAGAATTGGGCACCCGCAGCTAGCGGAGCACATGCGGAGCAGCTGGTCGTTTGTTGGCTGAGTCATGATGAACAACCAATTCCCTCGATCGGACGAGGCAGTGGAATCCGATTCCCTCAATCCAAGATTAGTACCATAGGAAAGGGATTAGTACATGGTTGGGTCATGGGCATTGTCGGACAGAGGTAAACTCGTTGTCCCATGAACCAAGTAGTGGGTGATTTCTTGGTGACCGCGAGCCATGAATCCGAACGTGGCCATTCGCCGTCAGAGGACACGCAGCTGCTCTACTCACCCATTTGCACCGTGATGGCGAAAAAACGCCAAAAGCAAGGGACGTTGCAGCTGGCGGGTACGGGGACATGGAGAGGATATTGAAAGTGATATGCAAAGTGATATGGCCGTGGGTCAAAACGTACCTTGGTTGACCACAGAAGATGAACAGAATGGCCTACCAGGGAAGTCAACCTCAAAGGGTTTAGGGCTCCAGGTTTTGACCCCACGGTGAATGAAGCTAGAACAGTACATGGACAGTTTTTCGGACCTGATCATTTGAACGCTGCATGGGATGTGGATCATTGGGCCCGAGATATGCTTGACACTAAGCCACTAAGCCACTAAGCTTTTCTAGCCATGAAGCTAGTTGGACTTTGCACAAGATGGGATGGGACCAAGGTTTGTCTGCTAAGGGTTCGAAGTGTTTGGACCACATTTCGCAATGTTTCAGCTTGAAGCCTAAGACACCCAGAAGGAGCATCTAGATCTGAAGGCTTCTGTGCGTCCCTTTCGTGGGAGTTTGATAGGCATGGACATGACAAGCATCAATGAAATTGCCAGTTCAATCCAGCTAATCCCAAGATCGGTTCACACTGGGAGAGATCCAGGCACAGGCCATTGGAATTCACAGAATTATCTAACCACGCAGTTCTTGGAGAGCATGGGTTTTGGGAGTTCGGCTTTGATCCACCATAGCTCCTCTGATCTATATAGAGGCATTGATCTCTTCAGGCGTGGAACGCATCATCTTCCCTCGAGGAACTTGAGCTTCGTTTTTTTCTTTCTTTCTGACCCCATACAGCAAAACAACGTTGACTCAGAATTCTGTGAGTCAAAGCCTGCCCTGTATACACCTGATTGACCTTTCTGGTGGTCTAATCAGACCCCCCACAGCCAGACGCCCCCTTCAGATGACTTCCACCAGATCGCTAATCCCTACTCAATTTATTGACCCATGGCGCAGCATGGATGGTGTGGTGGGGATGGCGCGCTGTGCATCCAGCGAACGGAGGTGGGGACACAACGTTTTGTTTTTGTTTTTCCAGGGAGGACTGGGGATTTGCCGAGTGAGCTGGCTCACGAAAGGACTCATGATTCACCTGAAATACACTTTTGTCACCCGGAGCAGCTTTCTCCACGATCTTGTTTGGGGAGACCTCTATTTCACTCCAGTGTAAAGTCTTTTCTCTTCCTTTTCACTTAGTTCCATCAGACCTTCCTCGTGCCTTGGCTTTGAACCAAACTCTGTGGGATCGCGGCGGGTTTCCCACAGAGCCCAGGATGGCCGTGGGCAAAGCACCGTGGCCGGGCGCCCCTTCGGAGTGCAGGAGGTGCACCGAGCTCGTGGCCGGGCGTGCTGCGTGCGTGCCGCAGGAGAAGCACGTGGTCATCCATGGATCCGAGCTGTGATCCTGAAGGTGTCCACTGAATGAACATGGATGTATCTCAAAACAGGGAGACCCAGGAAGGTTCGAACCCCCGAACCAAAAGAGGTTCGAGTCACCGTAGACCAGCAAACACCCGTCGCGACCGGAAACCCGTGATGAAGCGGTGTTTGATGTACAGATCGGTACGCCACCCTGAATGCCACCGGTCCAGTCATGGAGTGTTTGGACTCCGGCCGATGCTCGGGGGGGTGCCCGAGCCGATTCGCTCGCGCGCGATGATGAGAGAACCGAGCCGTACCTTGGAGGTGGTCGGATGGCACTTCGGTGGTCGGATGGGGATCCGGCCAGCACCTCACCGAGTGTCGACAGGGATGGTTCCGAATGCTCGATGGAACGGCATACGGAGATCATCATGGTGACGTGGATGGCACATGATGGCACCAAACAGGAGGTGGTCTCGAGTGTAGATCCCGATGCCTCCCAAAAAGCCAATTGATTGATCAATCCAAGAACATTTCCTCCTCCTTCCTGATGATGTAGGGGGGGGCTAAACCGGCTAAAACCGACCCTGGGTCTTTGGAATTGGAGCCAGGAGTTCTGATTTGAGGTGGGGGGGAACATCTCAGATTGATGACTTTGTCATCTACTTGGGATGAAGGGCGGGCCGTTTCTATACCACCAGGAGCACCCGACCCTTGATATGCCAGCTTTGACAGTGAAAAAGAACACAAGGGTACCCAGGTCGTTTTCTTTTCACTGCAATTCCTTGTTGATGTTTAGTAAAGCTTTCTGTGTAGGTGTGGGAGAATCAAACACAATTTATAGACACGAGACAGACCTCTGACAGCAATCAGCTACACCAATTCTCAGAGAGGGGCCAGCACATTGACTCCTTCTGGAAGAGAGGTTTCCATATCTTCTTATAAAAACCTTCTATTCAGGTCACAGAGTCGTTCTACAGAACAACGCAGAAATCGGACAGTTTTGGCATGTGCTTGCATCCAAGCACGCCTTCCTCCAGGTGCTCTTCCGAGAGCCTCCCTTGGCCATCAGCTTCCAGCAGACTGAGCCGCTCTGGGCGCAGCAGCTGCGATCCAAGCTCCTGCAGCTGGATACGACCTGTGCGTGGCAGCCACTTGAGTGGAAAGTGCGGGGGGATGGGTCCCTCAAGCGTGTTTGCCCGACCAGTCCACCATGTAGTGACCGACGATTCACAACCGACCGTTTTGTAGGTCGGCGACCGGTCTGCCATGCACGATCACCTGCACTCACCTGGGGGCGACTTGTCGCCCTTAATCGGCCAGAGGATTTCGAGTGAACATGTCTACCCAGGAAAAGTGACTCAATGCGCGCGCACGTTCCGGCCCAGGTACTGCCTAGCTGTCGGGGCCCCCAAGTCGATCCCATGTTGGAGGGTGATGGTAAACACCTGTTCAGGAGTTTGTTTAAACCACGCGAACTGGGTGCTGGTTGGTACTCTACAAAGGTTTGAGCAACTAGCATGTTACTCTGTCAAGATTGAACTATAATTATGGAAGGGCGTGCCAAGTTGAAGAGAAAGACGTTTTCGACGGTCACCTTGTGCACTTCCATAGTAATTGTGGGGACAATATGCATCTGCAATTTTGGTCTCCCTTTTGCTTGCTTGTTTTGCCCAGGCGTACTGACAGATACCTTCCCTATCCTTCCGTTTTCACATGGAGCAGTGCTATGCACCGCTCTTTCTGTTTCGCTCGGTTAGCACCCAAGAACTTCGCGGGCACTCTTGGGAGATGACCTATTCTTTGCTTCTTCACGTGGGTATACGTGATGCAAACTCTCGGTTGAGCAGCACTTTCCGGTCTGACAATCATGAACAAAGTCGGATTCAGAAACTGCACTGTATTCAGAAACTGGTCTTCAGAAACTATTTCGTTGTATTCAGAAACTATTTTGTTGTATTCAGAAACTATTTCGTCATATTCAGAAACTATTTCGTCGTATTCAGAAACTATTTCGTCGTATTCAGAAACTATTTTCGTCGTATTCAGAAACTACTGTCCCTCATGCTCAGAAACTTTTATTACCAAACTAGGGGGCGATGTGAACAACCACCTGCGTGGTCAGTTGATGCGTTCTCTTGCATTCAGGGTGGGGTGGGGGG